CACATCCTCGTTCAAGATTTCCTTCTCCTGGCTCGGTCCACTCTCGACTGGCACATGAGCCACCGAAGCATCCACAGTGGCCTTCACAGTGGAGGTGGGGTCGCCACCAAGTATTGTGTCCAGCTCTTTGTAGAACCGGCAATTCGTGGGTGCAGCACCGGAGCAGCGGTTTGCCTCCCGCGCCTTGTGGTAGGCGTTCTGCAGCTCCTTCACTTTGACCCTGCACTGCAGTGTGTCCCATTCATGGCCTCTTTCTGTCATGCATTGTGAAATCTGTCCATAGGTATCATAATTCCTATGGCTTGAGCGCAGCTGGGACTGGACAGTCTCCTGTCACCAAGTGCTGATGAGATCCAGCAGCTCGGCATTGCTCCAAGCGAGGGATCGCCTGGTGCGTGGAGCAGACATGGCCACATGGAAAGATGTGCTGAGACCACTGCATGCATCACCGAGCAAACAGGAAGGGCACTTTCAAAATTCCAAAGGAATTTACGGGGTGGGGATGATGGTTAGTCACCTGGGGGCGGGGCAGTAGAGTTCAAACCAGTGACCAGAGAGGCAAGAACACGCATTGTGGGTACACCTCCCGGAGGCCAATCACAGCACTGTAATTGACCAGGGTGTCTACACTGGCACTCTCGTCGGGGTGTTTTGTTTTTTTTACAGCGCTGCAACTGCGCAGTTTCTGCGCGCTAAATGACGTGGCAATGTGTACACCTCGGGAGTTACAATGCAGAAAGCAGCTTTACTGCGCAGAAACTTGCCAGCGTAGACAGGGCCTAACACTTTGGTCTAGGCCAGGGAATAAAAGCTCTGTAAATAGACTGTATTCTAATCAAGTGTTGTTCAACAAGGAACAAAGGTTGCACTGAAGTGCTTTAAGTTCTTGATAAGCAGTCTTTTGCCAACCTACGTATTTTGAATTTTATCAAATGTTGAATATAGTGAGTATTATGCCAGAGATGGGATAGTGATAATTTTTTTTCTAAGAGCTGAACTTGATTTATAACTGCCTACATGCTGACAAGAAATTAAAAAAAAAAAAAAAAGTGTTGTACCCTGAGGCTCCCCTCATGCCAAGTTAAAACAATTTGAAAGCCCCCTTAATACCTGTGAAGATGCAGCTCAACACCTCTTTTTTTTATTTTGTGAGCCTGAAAAGATATGAAGTTGTCTTCACAGGTGTTAAGGGGGCTGTCCTGTCATTAAGCTAACTTGACTGAAAACTTAAAAACCCACCCCACCCTGGCAAACAACTAAACCATTTCTTCCCATGTAGGTAAGGCCAAATGTGCTCGTATGCTAAGGCCTTCTCTACACTGGGTTTTCTGTGTGTGGGTTTTTTGTTTTGTTTTTTTTAATAGTCACTGATATACCCATATTG